CCGACTGAGCCCCCCAGGCGCCCCTAAATGGGGCTGATTCCTTTTCCTTCTGCGCATTTGACAGACTGATGAACACCAGACTTCCCTAGCAGGTTGTAACGGTCCTGCCACAAAGTCTCTGCTGAGGCAGAGGGTGGAAAAGTCCAGAAAATGGCACCATTCAAAGGTGCCTGGGCCTGGTTTCTTCCTCCGTCCTCCTGGAGTGGCAGCTGGGAGGCCCTCCCCAGGACAGTCACCCCTCCCGTCAGGGTCAGGACCTACGTTCCCTTGGCTTTTGCTCTTCAGGGTCTACCCCTGGAAGCCTTTTAACCCTCCAGGAAAAGAGATACTGACATCCAGGTTGGCTTCTGACACAGGGGAAGGAATGAACGAGGGCCCCCTGTGCTCCTGTCTTCAGGTCACATGTGCTCCCCACTGACTCACTGATCCCATCTGGGAAATGGGCACAACTGGCTTGGCCGTCAAAAGAGGTAGTATTCTACGCTCCACAGGCTCTCTTTGGTCTCAGTTCAGACCCTTTCCCCAGCAAAGGCCTCCGTGGCTCCAGCCCCAGTAATCAAACCCCCCTCATCACCTCCCCTTATGGGGCTTAGATGGTGAGACAGAAGGTGGGTCAGTCTGACAGCAGTTCGCCAGCCCCATGGGGCTGTGGGATTGGGGGGTGCTCTCCCTGACCCCTGGGCCCAGGTCCTTTTGGAGCAAGCACAGGAATGTGGCGGTGTTCTAGGACACGCTTATTTCTCCCTGAGGTGCAGAACCCCACGCTGACCTTCAGAGGGCAACACAGCTTCCCAGGAGCCTTTCAAAGCCTGGGGGTGACTACGGGGGCCAGCGGAGAGGAGGGGCGGGAAGGAGGGGGGGTGGGAAGCAAACAGAAGTCAGTGCTGCAGGGAGTCCTGCCAAGGCAGATCCCTCTGCTCCCACACTGACACCCACAGGCCAGTCTCCCTCACCTTCCAGGTGGGCTGTCTACCTCGGCGGTCGGCTTGGGCGCCCGCAGCTGGGCAGCGAGGGGGAGAGCCTGCGGGTACGGAAGCAAGGGACGCGGAGGACAGCGGGCATGGGAAAGGAGGTGGTGGCCCCCCTTGGGCCTCGGACGGTGGTCTCTGGAAGCACTGCAGGAAGGGGCGCTCAGGGGGGCCGCAGGAAATGACTGGGTGAGGAGGGCCTTGTCCCCTCTTCCCACCGCCCCTCTCCGGGTGGCCTGCACTAAGGGGTCTCAGGGGGCCGGAACAGTGAGGGGCACAGAGCCCCTTCCCAGGGGGGTTCTGACCCACTCTGGAGGCGAGGAAATGAAGGTCCAAACCAGGCGAAGGGCAAGTCCGAGGTTGGGTGGCAAGAGGGTGGTGGGGCTGGCGGGGGCCTCCGGTGAAGGACTCTTTCCATGGGGGTCCTCCCATCCCAAAGTGCCGTCTGTCCTGGGCGAGCTCCTGCCCCTCCCCCGCAGCAGGCAGACAGAGGGCAGCCCCTTCCGAACTGAGGGATGCTGGGGCCTTTGAGACCACACAGGCACACGCAGCGCCCGCCGGCCACCAGCCTCCCTCCCTTGGCCCTGCACTGTGGCTCTTGCTGGCCTGCCGCCAGCCTGGCGTCCTCCCACTTGTCACCACTGTGTCCCCCACTAGGTTGTCAGTCGCGCAGAGTCGGGCCTGGCGTGTTTTACTTACGACTGTGCCCACAGTGCCTTGAACAGGTGCCTTTAAATGACACGTGGGCTGCCTGGGGGGCTCTGTCAGTGCAGCGGCTGCCCTTGGCTTAGGTCATGATCTCGGGGTCCTGGGATCGAGTCCTGCGTCAGGCTCCCTGCTCGGTGGGAACCCTGCTTCTCCCTCTCCAGCCTGCTTCTCTCCCTGCTTGTGCTCCCTCTTTCTCTCTCTGTCAAATAAATAAATAAGATCCTTAAAAGAAAAATGACTACAGGAACGACAAATGGCTCTCGGGTGGCCGCTTGTTAAGCGACCCCGGACAGTGACCTGCCTCTCAGCTGACATGTGTGCCCTTACCATGTGCCCGACACCATCTATCTGTGAGCTTTATATGTATTAACCCCTCCAAGCCCACAGCCATCCTCGGAAGTGGTCACCATTATTACCCCTAATCACCGACCGACTGTGAGGGAAGGGAAGGCGGGAGGGTGGGGTGACCTGTGGCCAGGGGCAGTGAGGAGGCTGGGAGCAGAACTGTGCGGTCACAGGGACAGGTGTTTGGCTTAGAAGGGAGGCAACTGCTGGGGCCCCTTCTGTCCCCTCCTCCTTGTAACCTTGCCTATAAAACAGGGCTAATCACAGCTCTTCCTTCCCTACCCACCCCTGCTCATTCCCCTCCCCCACAGGGGCTGCGTCCCCATGGGGATGATGCAAGACAAAGTCTGGGCGCAGAGGAAGGGCTGGGGTCAGGGCAGCCTGAGCTCTCTGGCTGCCTCCACCAGCAACAGGCTTCCTCCGAGGCCTGGGCGCTGACCTCCCCATCCGCTTTCCACACACTCTCCGGGGTCTTGGGTTCTCCTGCTATGAAATGGGGAAGGGGGCGTGAGAGACAGACTAGAGTCATAGTGATACAGAGGGCCTGTTCCCACTAAAAACAACCACAGTGCTGGACAGAATTAAAAAGCATGTTTCAAAGCAATGAGGAGCTCACAGGGCAGTAAGGAGTGAGGAGACCAAAATCTAAGGGAAACCAACTCTAGGAGCTGAGCCGCGCTCCAGGGCCCCTCACATCCTGAGAGCACGGGCTGAGCTGAGCCAGGGTGTCTGTGGAGTTAGGAAGATGGGAGCTGAAGCCCAGGGCTCACTGAGGAGGGGAGACAAGGGGGACAGCCTCCATAATGCTGGGACCCCAAAGGGCTACATACTCCAGCTGAGAGCCAGAGGACACCCAGGCCCCATCCCATCAGACCTCAAGGAACAGAGGACAGGACACAGACCTGGGGCCTGCACACGCAGGGGAGCCTGCAGGGTCTGAGCCCACTCACAGCGCTTAGGGCAGTGGGCTGTGGGCCGCAGAGAGGTCAGCCTGACTGGGAAGGGCCCCTCGGAGCAGCTTGCCTTCCTCCTAGCCTTCTAGACACCCTGCAGATGGTCTCCTCAGGGGAGAGAGCAGGCCACAGCCCAAAGTGACAAAGAACCACTGACCTGGTCATGCAGGGAGGCTGTCTCAGGCCTCCGTGTTCTCGCCTGCAAAGGGGGCTGAGCAGACGCTCTCCAGGATCCCCTCCGGCACAGGGATTCTCTGGGGGTGAAGCTATGTGTGCTTCTAGAGTGAAGAAGGGGGCGTGGATGGGATGGATTAGCCCGTCTTGTCTCCTCCGACAGAGGCTGGACGGGGAAGGGGGTGTGTTGGGCCCTGTTCCCAGCTCTGGGGGTGAGCAATAAGGGGGTTGTGTCTGTGGCCCCAAATGGCCCTTTGATGTATGCATGGGTGGGTGGGCCCTAGGGGACCATAATAAGGGCCGCCAGGGAAGGAGGCAGGGGAGCCCCTGGGGGCACCCTCAGCTTGACCTACTTGGGCCCTCATAATTGCTCCCTTCCTTCGCTGGGAGACTAGAAATAGGGACGCCCCGTCTCTAGCCTCCTACAGCTGAAACCAACACTTGTGGTGAGTGCCAGCTGCTTGGGTTCTGCCCTGGATTGGGAGCCAGGCCTGGGGGCAGAGGGACGAGCACTGCAGGTACCGGCCAGGTGCCGGAAGTCAGCTATGGTGGGTTCAGTGGTCCTCGGTACAGTGAAGGGCCGTCTGGAAGTTTGGGTTAGGGGTGTGCAGTGCGGAGGTCTGGCAGGGGTGGGGGCCTCACAGGGAAGAGAGGGTTCCCTTCAGGCTCCAGGCACCCAGCTTCTGAAAAAGCCCCCTGGGGTGGTGCCAGCCAGGCTGGCAGGAGCCCAGAAGGGCTGCTGAGCACCTCTGAGGTTCCCTAGTCCCTGTGCGTGTGGCCCTTTCCTCTGCTGGAAGCACAGACTCCCAACTCCACTGCTGGGCTGTCACAGAGACCGCTGGCTGAGCGTTGCCCCATCACCCCCGCGCCCAACCCTGCCGGCGGGGGCGTTCTGTATGGCCCAGCAGAGGGGCACCCGGGAGAGCGTCTTGCAGCCCGGCCTCCTTGCTGCACACTCCTGTCCCCTGGGGGAGCAAGGCCCTAGGTTCACAGGGGATTAGCAGGGCCTTCCCAGCTGCTTCAGGGTTCCCCAGGCTGGAGGCATCCTCCCAGAGGTGGTGGGGTTGGGGAAGATGGGCACTTCCAGGAAAGCCTGCCCTTCTGAGAGAAGGGGTGTTCCTATGCAAAACCTTCTGGCTCAAGACCCCAGGGGGCAGGGAGACAGCTTCAGGTGGGGCAAATCACTGACCCGCGAACCCCTGAGTTGGCTCCCTCTGTGGACTGCCGGTTTGGGTCCCTGAGCAGGCCTGAGAGGTGGAATGAAGCCCAGTTTACAGGAAGGGCCCCTGCCCCCCAGTGTCGGGCTCATCTGAGGTTGTGTGGCTGGCCTGATGCACAGGGGGTCCCAGGCAGAGTTCAGGGGAGTAGGGATGAGTGAGGGTGGTGGTGAGGTGCTGGGGTTGCTCTCAGACCTGACCTCTCCCTGAGAAGCCCAGCTGCTCCAAGGTCCTGAGGAGGGGGGGCACGGGGCAAGTATCTCCTTGGGCAATTTCCTGCGGGTCTGGAGGCTTTATCTCATGGTGGGGCACCGTGGGCCTGAGCCCTTCCTGGGTGTCAGGGTCGAGAGAAGGGAGACAGCCAGGGAGTCCTCAAGGATCCCCAGTGTGGGGATGCAGTTGCGGGGTGGGGTGCTCTCTGAGGAGTTTGTCCTGATGGTAGGGAAAGAAGACTTCTGTCCAGAAAAATGACATTGGGGTCATAGGGAGAGAAATTAGAAGAGGCTGGAGTGGTCAGGGCCGGGCTGCTCGGAGGAGGGAAGCAGCAGGAGTGTGTGGGAGCCGTCTCTGAGAAACGTCCTAGGCATGGCTGGGCCTCCGGCTGCGTCTCACCTCCATGTCCTCTGACAGTGAGGATGGCCAGGCCTCTGGAGCAGGCGGTGGCTGCCATCGTGTGCACCTTCCAGGAGTATTCGGGGCGCGGCGGGGACAAGCACAGGCTCTGCCAGGGGGAGCTCAAGGAGCTGCTGCAGAAGGAGCTGCCCACCTGGACCCCGGTGAGCTCCTGGGGGGGCCAGTGTGTGGGAGGCCCTGCCCGGACTGCAGAGAGAGCCCTGGGGACCGGCTTGGAGCAAGTGGGGCAGGGGTGAGGCTGTGAGGAGGTGAGCAGAGGTGGCAGGGGTCCCAGGGCCCCGTCTGTGAGGGGACAGATCATGGCCACACCTGCTGCTTGGCAGGTGGCTTGGAGGCCGGCGAGGGTGCACTGGGGAGCATTCCCACACGCAGCGGGCGGTGGGACCTGAGAAGGGCGGTTGCGGGGTGCGGACACAGGCAGATGGCAGAGCTGGAGGCTGAGGCTCGTTTCCCAGGGCTGTGGAAGGCAGGGAGGCCGGCCAGGAGGGGAAGGTGGGTGGGGCATGCACCCCTGCCTCAGCCTGCGCCCCCCGCCCCCCACGCTGCGCAGACGGAGCTGCGGGAGTGTGACTACCATCAGTTCATGAGCGTCCTGGACACCAACAAGGACCGGGAGGTGGACTTCGGGGAGTTCGTGCGTGCCCTGGCCTGCCTGTGCACCTACTGTCACGAGTACTTCAAGGACTGTCCCCCCGAGCCCCCCTGCTCCCAGTAGGCTCTGCTCCCACGGGCGCCTGACACGAGGCCCAGGCCAGGCTGACCCAGGGGGCTAGAGACGGGAGGGGACCTCCCCAGGGTCCCAGCTGAAAAGCCCCAGAGCACCGCCTCCCCCTGTGGCCGCATGGATGAGGCCCTGACCCCGGAGGGTCCACTTCACGCCTAATAAAGAACTGGTGTCCCCAGTTTGGCTCTCGACTCTTGGGCTTGTGGGGGGTGGGGGCAGAGTCCTCACTCCTCTCCGGCTTTTGTGGGGCTTTTGTGCAGGAGGGCACGAGGCTGCGGGTGAGTCAGCCTAGCGGAAGACGGAGGGGAGATCCTTCTGAGGACAAGGTCCAGGAGGCTTTGGGGTGTCTCTCTTTCTCTCTCTGGGGCCTTTGAAGCGCAACTCCCCTGGGCTGTCAAGGAGGACGCCAGGGCAGCCCCAGATTCCCTAGGGATGGTGCTCAGGCCTCAGCAAGGCTGTTCTGAGGAGGAGGGTTGGGGAGCAGGTGTGGGGCGGACTTGTGGGCTTGGGTGTGGGAGCCCAGAGAGCAGAGCTAATAGGATTAGGGTGTCTGAGGTCTGACCAGGGTGTGGCTCTTGGCCAGGGAGTGGTGCCCAAGGGAGGGGACACCTTGAGACAGACCCCATTCCTGAAGCTATAACCTGCTGAGGGACTTAGCTCCCTACTCCTGATCCTCAGTAAAGCTGAGTTCATACCCCACTCTAAGAAGGTGACCCTGATCCCCGCCTTCCCCACTTCGTGCCATTTCTCCTCTAACTTTCCACCCCAACCTGTGTTCTTCATTTTAATACTATCCCAAATCTAGATACCCCATCCTGATAGCCTCCCTCTCCCCCGTCCTCTGGGTACCTGCTGTCCATCCCTGAGCCCCACACTTGACTCCTACTCCCTACTCCATCACTACCGCATCCGGGACCTTTGTCCACTGATGTGCCTGGGGTGGTCCTAGCATCACCTTTGGGTGTTGGTCTGTTCCTCCTCCAGACTCTCCTCCTGCCCTGGACCTCAGTCAGCATGGCAGAGTGCCCTTAAAGGAGGGGAGAAGGGCAGCGAGAGCTTCCTGGGGTCCCCTCCTTAGTGCCTGGGCAGCCACATTTCCAGGGCAATTTCTTTTTTTCAAGATTTTATAGTATTTTATTTTTTAAGTAGGCTCCCTGCCCAACATGGGTCTTGAGCTCACAGTCCCGAGATCAAGAGCAGGGTGATCTACCAGCCAAGCCAGCCGTGCGCACTCACCTGCATTGTCTCCCCTTTTCTGGCGGCCCAGCAGGACCACCTCCTCCCTGCCCGCCCCCCGCTGTGCCCAGGGCACAGACTTCCTCTGGCTCCCGAAAATTCAGGTTGAGCTGAGCCCACAGTGCAGTGCCCACCCCATGGAGACCCCAGGCTGTGTGGGTCTCCCATTGTGCCTACCCAGGGCAGGAAGCTGGGTTCCCAGCTGGGCTGGTGGAGGGGCCCACAGGAGGACTGTCTCTCACTCTTCCCCAACCCCTGCTATGGGCAGGGCCTGGCCAGGGTATAAATAGGACAGACCGCTGGGTTTCCCCACTCTTCCTCTCCTCGCACCCTCCCTCCTCATCTCTTCTTCCCTCTTGGCCTGGTAAGTCGTGGTCTTCTGACTGGCACACAAGGGTGTCAGGGTGAGGCTGGGGTCAGGCTCTGGGCAGAGGAAGGAGTGGCTGGTGGGGGCCAGATATGCTAACGGGGTCCAGCGTGAGATTGTGATGTGGAGGCCCTGGAGTGGGGTGTGTGTGAGTGTGAGTGTGTGTGTGTGTGTGTGTGCACGCGAGCATGCCTGCCCGCATGCGTGTGCAAGAGAAAAACCCACAAACTAGAAGTGCGCAGGGCCTGGATTCGACCTAGCTGGTGGCACTGGGATGCTGGGCTTTGCACGTGCTGTTGCTGGACCGTGTGTTGGTGTGTGTGTGACCTGTGGGTCTGCACATCGGCCGCTGTTTGCGGGGTCGCACGGGCCTGTGTGTGCACACTCGGGTGTGGGAAGCAAACTGAAGTCCACTGGCCTTTTGTCTGCTTGTGTCCTATGGGTGTCTGCTCTGCACCCCGCCCTGCATCCTGCCTCTGCCACCTCACCCTGCCCCTCCCTACTCCAGGGCTGGGCCGCTGGTTTTTTCCGCTGCCGCCCCTGGGCAGGCCTCCAGCAGCCCCCGGACGGGAGAACAGGGCAGGGTGTGGCCGCTGTGGTCGTGGGAGTACTGGTGGAGGGCGAGAGAGTGGGGAGGCCCAGCCTGAGTGAGGCTGCCTGCAATCCGGAGCCTGGGCCAGGCCAGGCCAGTCCAGCCCGGATGGTGGCCTGAAGCACGCACTTCTCGCTAGGAGCCGCGTCCCACCTTTCTGGGTCCCCCTCTGGTGGGAGCAGAATCTCATCAAGTGGCCCCTGGGGGCTGGGAGTGGGGTGGAGCACTCTGAGGGTGGGGCTGGGGAAGACAAGGCTGTCTCTGGGACCCACCCTCAGATCCTGAGCGCCACCATGGCGTGCCCCCTGGAGCAGGCTCTGGATGTGATGGTGTCCACCTTCCACAAGTACTCGGGCAAGGAGGGTGACAAGTTCAAGCTCAACAGGTCAGAGCTAAAGGAGCTGCTGACCCGGGAGCTGCCCAGCTTCTTGGGGGTGAGTGGTTACTGCCTGGGAGTATGCCCCTGTGTGCTCCCCTCTCCACGGGGAAGGGGCAGGGCCTGATGGGGCACCAGCATGTGGGCAGAACCGTAGCTACTGTCCCTGGGATGCATCTGTCCCTGGGGTGGGGACGTCCGAGCAGAGGGCCTGGTTCGGAACACAGTGGGCACCCACCACTCACTTCCGGGAGCCCAGCAGGAGGAGGGCTGGGACCCACAGGTAGGGTGCAGGCCAGACCCCACCACGGGCTTTGCACAACTTAACTAAAGGGGAACAGACATTCAGAGCGGCTAAGCAACTTCCAAGGCCATGAAAGTGCAAAGCTGAGATCCACAAACTGGGACGTTTGCCATCAGTCCGGCAACAGATAATTTTGGAGTCTCTGTGAGTGTGGAGCCACAGTCAAGGAGACACATGTCCACGCCCCTGAGCATTCCCAGTTCCCGATTATACCAGACTCTGCGCAGTTTAGATGTTACCTTCGTGACCACTGTCTAGCTGGATTCTTGGAACAGCCTTGGGGGATGACGTGGTGGTCCCTTCTCCAGCTGCGCGCACGTCCCCTTGGGGTGAACTTCTGTGGACCCCGCTTAGCCCCTGAGAGCAGGGGTTCCAAAGCGGGGCCCCCAGGGCGCGGCTGTGCCTTCCCGAGCTCCCGTCTGGAGATGGGAGGCGGCTCTAGTCTTGCCGCGCGCCAGAACGTGTGGTTCTGCTGGTTGCCTCTTCCCCGCAGAAGAGAACGGACGAGGCCGCCTTCCAGAAGCTCATGAACAGCCTGGACAGCAACAAGGACAACGAGGTGGACTTCCAGGAGTACGGTGTCTTCCTGTCATGCGTTGCCATGATGTGCAATGAGTTCTTCGAAGGGTTCCCCGATAAGCAGCCCCGGAAGAAGTGAAAGCCCCCCCGGGGGTGGGGGTACCCTACCTGTTGGCAGAGGGCACCGGACCTCACCCCGGCCCCCCCAGATGTGTGCACGATGTGACCAAGTCCAATAAAGAGTCTTAGAAGTTTTGAGGTTGATGGTCTGAGAGGCTCTGGGGCTGCGGTGAGGGCTGAGGGATGGGTCACGGTGGGCAGCACAGGCGGTGGACAGTGGTTCCGTGGAGAGCAGACTAGTGAAGGTGGGGGCAGGGGTGAGTGGAAGACTGTGTGTGCGCATGACGGAGCTGGCTGATGGTGCCCAGGGCAGGGCAAAGAACTCCCAAAGGCTTGGAGCGCCCCGGCTGTGGGGTCTTTGCCAGCAGACTAGTCCCTCCCACCTCAGCCTTGCCTCTGGAGAGATTGAAGGTCACATCTGCTCTTGGCTCCGCCTGGAATGGAGTTTGGGTGCCCTGGGGCAAGGAGCTGAATCACGAGGGCCCTGCCCTGCGGGCCCCTTCCAATGCCCTAGTTTCCAGCCCAGGGATGGGTGAGTCCCTCCTGTCCGTGGTTAGGTCAGGGAGGCCATGTGGAAGGAGACCACCCCATTGCAGCAGCCTGAGAATGTCACCAGCGACCCTGGGAGGAGGGCTGTTACCAGTTAGGGTCATGGTCCTTCAGAGAGGGACAAAAGGACCTCAAAGGGAAGAGTGGAGGATGGTAGCTGGGGTGGGAGGGAGGGAAGTAGTGGGAGGTGGCCCTAATTTTGGTTATGAAATTCCAGACATGTGATCTGATCAATAGAACTGAGATTTTTCTTCCCCCAGAAAACACCAGGCCTAATGTCGTGTCCCTTCAGGTTAAAGGCTGATGGGTGATGGAAGTTCTTCTGCAGGTCGGGCCTGGGGTTGTGGGGCCTTTAAGAAGAAGGCGGTGAGGGTGATGGCCAGCAGTAGGGGGTTTTGGTTCCCTTGACCTTTCAAGCTTTCCCTTTCCTTCTCATTACACCCTGTTTTTCTCTCCAGTGTCAGAGCAGTGGGGCAGATGACTCAGATGTTCCCCCGAGTGTGACTGCAGAGGCCTGGCTAGGATTTTGGTCCAGGAAAAAGCCTGCCTCCTCTCCTTCTGCCAGAGCCCTGGCTGCCCATCTTCTAAGGGAGTGCCCTCCCCCAGGGATGTTCCTGCATCACTCTGCCTCGGAAACTCCCGTTGCTCAGCGACCAGTCCCTGCTGCCTCTCTCTCTCTCTCTCTCTCTCTCTCTCTCCTTGCCAGCCCAGGTGGGGGCGGGGCGGGGCAGAGCGGGCGCAGGGCGGAGGGTCTAGGCCTGGTGGGGATGTGGCGCCCACAGGTGCGGTCTGACTCAGCTCCGTTCTCACCCTTGAACCGCTTGGTGGTAAAAGTGTCTCTCCTCGGATTCAGGCCACTCTCCCTGCCCCCTGCTCCATTCCATCCTGCACTGCACCCTGAGCCTGCTTCCCTGTCACCTGGGCTTAGCCTTCCTGGACCCCTTCCATGTCACCGATTCCCAGGCCTCTGTTCCACGTCTCTGACAACTCTTTCCCATGAAGATGAGCGGTGAGGCATCTTAGGCTTCGACTCCATGGTTGCTAATGACCTTGACCTTGACTTCCATGCCCTCAGCAGGGAACATCTTCCCTCATGAATTCCCATCTCAAGTTGTGTTTGCTCTGTTCCTGGTGTGGACAGGAGGCGCAGTATGGAGAGTGGCCTAGGGCGTGAAGAGGTGCCCTGTGTTCGGCCACGTTTCCTGGTCCTTTTTCCAGGGCTCCTGGTTTCTCTTCCACCCCTGTTGTCCCATCAGATTGAGTGCTGGGTTTTGGTTGGGAAAATAAACCTTCTGGAATTGAAGATGTGTGTGCCTCAATGAGCTCAACATGCCCCCTTTCCCTCTGTTGGGAAACAAGGAAGGCAAGACTGGCAGAGGGGTTTCTCCCCAGCCCCATCCCAGGAGGCTCTGACCTGGGCCTTCTCAGGTCCCTCTCCTTCTCATTGGCTCCTTCCCTCCTCTGGTTTCCTGGGGACCAGAGCAAGGGAACAAAGGCAGGGAGTGGTGGGAGGGAGACTGTTTGTGCTGTGTGGGTTGTCTACTGGCTCCTTCCCTGGTGAGTCCTTCCTCCTCACCTCCCTGCTCATCTGTACGGTGGGGCAAGTAGGGCGGTGAGGCCAGACCACGACAGCCTTGGGGACCACCACCAAGGAAGGCCTGGCATGCTGGGCAGACATGGGCTCATGAAGGAGGGCGGAGTGTGGAGCTGTGCTGATCAGAGTTTCTCGGGAAGGGGCTCTGAGTATGCAGTTGCAGTCAGAAGAGCTGGGGTGCTGTCCCCGACGCCCAGAGGCCCTCCCCTCCCCTGTGCTCAAGGCTGAGTCTTCTGGAGTGTGAGGGGGCATGATGTTGAGGTTTTGGGGTGGCGAGAGGTGAATGACAGATCCAGCTCAAGAATCACTAGGTGGGCTTTGGGCGAAGGTGAAAGCCAGCTGCTTCTTCCTTCTTGCTCTGGACTCCACACAGATTGACCTGGAGCCCCCAGGTTTCTTGGGTGTTGTCCCCTTCCTAAGTCATGGGAGCGGCCTCTTCCTTGGGTAGGTGTGGCCATGCTGAAGGACCTGGAGGATCACGTTCAAACCCAGCCTCTGGATCCAGCCCTCAGAGGAGTCCTGGAGATAGGCCCTTCCCTCCTAGTGCCGGTTGTGTGCAGGTCTGTGGGCCAGAAACTGAGACCAGCGGGACAGGTCCAGCAAACTCTGCCCTGTTTCCTGCTGAGATCTTAGCTCCCAGGTCCAGCTCCAGGCCCCCTCCGAAGCCTGGACTGTCTTTGCCTTGTCCTCCACCTCCATAATGGGACACTCCCCACTCTCCGGTGATTCAGGCTCCTGGGCATAGGAAGGTGACTGGGGCGAGACAGCCTCTGGGGAGTGACTCCCCGAGCTCAGAGGACCTTTCTTGGCTCCTTTGTCTGCCACCAGTTCATCTCATGGAGAGGTCATCTGCCCCTAGAGCCCTTTTCCAGCATCTCCTAAGCAGGGGCGTGTGTAGGGGGCTGGAGGGTCTCGTGGCTCTGGCTGTTCCTTGTTTGCCTTGGGGCTGGACTAGCGATGGGGAAGCAGTAGGTCTGGCTTCCCTCGGATGGTGATTCTTCCCTCCCCCTTCACCCTCCAGAGCTCACTGATGGAGACACCTCTTGAGAAGGCTCTGACCACTATGGTCACCACTTTCCATAAATATTCGGGGAGAGAAGGCAGCAAACTGACCCTGAGCAGGAGGGAACTAAAGGAGCTGATCAGGAAGGAGCTGTGTCTTGGAGAGGTAGGTGACTATTCCCCCAGCCCAAAGCCTGAGTTCTCCCTGCGCACACCACGGGGGAGGAAGAGAACAGAGGAAGCACCACACCACTGTAGTGGCGCCCCTTCTGTGAGGTAGGATGCCCCAGCTCTGCATCTGTAGAGAACCAGCAGAGGGGACACGCACCTGCCCTCCCAGTGCTCTGCTCTCAGCCTGGAGTAGGGTGACCAATGGGACTGACAGAGACTAAGGAAGAAGGTGGACATCTTGGGCCAACAGGTGCACGGCCTCTGTGATGGGAGGTGAGTTGGGTCTCCCTGGGAAGGAGGAAGGGCCACGTCCAGAGGGTGAATTCCAGCCTGCATGAAGGCCTAGAGGTCGGGGAGCCTTGTGTGTTGAGGCCGGGCGCACGGAGCCATCGAAGAGCCTGTGTGAGGAATCGTGGGGGACAAGGCCCCAGGGCGCCCAGCTCGAGCTGTGTGAGGTGCAAGGGCTGGGCCTCCGCCTGTGTGCTCTGTACAGCCAGGGCTCTCAGCTGGCACCGACATGGGAACAAAAGTGTCCTGCTCGTTTGGGAACACAAGGATGGAAGGAGACAGACTGCTTCTCGCCAGATGGAGAAGGTGGGAGGGAGGTGGCTGAGCGAGGGGAAAGCCTATGAGGAAGTTATATTATTTTTACAGCTCGAGAAAACAGAGGCTCAGAAATATTATCTAACTTGTCCAAAGACACCCAGCTAGTAAGAGGCCGAGTCCTTCCTTCTTCCTTGAAAATCTAGTCCTGGGGCCTCTCCAGTCACATTGTGAACCCTGGTGGGCCCCCCTTGGGCAGCGGACAGGAGCAGGTGTGGGTTTCACGAAGCTTGCCCTCCGGCTTTCCCGCCAGGATCTCTGCATCCTGAAGTTAATGAGGGCAAAAGGAGGGGTGGCGGGTCCCCAGGGGTTAATTACAGGGCACAGAGGGCCTGGGGAATGCTGGGGCAAGGACCATGTCACAGAGAAGCTGTTTCCATCTCCATTTGTCCTGACGTGTGTCTCCTGTGGAAAAGTGGGAACTGAGGGCAGTGAAGAGGGGAGGGCAGAACTCGTCTGTGTTTTCCACCCGAGGGCCATGTTTCATCCTCTGTGGAGCTGGTCTGGGAGAGCAGTGGAGAGCAGGGGACAGACAGAACACGGCTGAGCCCCGGCCTCATCTCCACACAGCCGAGCAGCAAGCTCTCCCAGGAAGGGAAGGCTGCGGTGGCTTCTGGCCTCCGACACATGGCTTTCATGGCATGCTGTCTGGGTCAGGTCTCAGCTACCCTCTGCAGGGACGGAAGACGTCTGATCAGGCTCAGTGCCACACAGTCCCCAAGGCATTTCTGTTGGACGCTGTATAACGTCCAGACCACTATTTCCCTGGATGGTGGGAAGTGCTGTAGGAAGGGGCACTTGGGCCGGCTTTCCTAGGGACAGTTGCTTGGATTCAGGGTGGGTCACCGCAGGGCGCCAGGCCCGGTGCTGGGTGTGCGCTGGGGGCTGAGACCGTCCGTGTTGAGGACCCAGCTAAGAGTCACCCTGAGGCTGTCTTCCCGGGTTGTGGGTGGCACCGTGTGGTGGTGATGCAGGGCTATTTGGGGTGGCTGACCTGTCCCTCTCCCTTGAAGAAGATGAAGGAGACCAGCATTGATGACCCGATGAAGAGCTTGGACAAGAACAGTGACCAGGAAATCGACTTTAAGGAGTACTCAGTGTTCCTCACCACACTGTGCATGGCCCACAACGAATTCTTCCTGGAGGATAGTAAATGACCAGGGCTCAGCCCCTTCCCCCTGGTCTCCGCAGCCCCTCTCATAGCCCCTCTCTGGCCCCTTGCCCTCGCCTCCCTTCTGGATGGACCCTGCTTCCGCCTTCCCTTCCAGCAGGGCAAATAAAGATTTTCCATTCCTGGCTGGTTTTGAAGATGTCTTGTCCCCCTTGCCTAGGGGTGGTGGTGGGGGGCAAGGGAGAACGCCTCTTCGCGTGGGCTGAGGGCCTCCGGGATTTAGGGTCGTGGGCTTCCTCCCTTCCTGCCCTGCCTCGGTGTGGATGTCACTGAACTTCCTGGGCTTAGTTTTGCCCTTCTGGAAAATGGGGAAGTTGGGCCAGGCTTTCCCTTGCCTCCCAGAGAAAGCGAAGAGGAAGCGCTTTGACAGGGCGGAGGAGGTGCGGGCGCTGGGGGAGGCTCCCCAGGGCGGCGGTGGACAAGCCAGTCTGAGGCCACAGGAGGTCCCCTCGCCAGCCTCCTTCACCACTTCCCCCCGGGGCGGCTAGCCCGCCCATCCCCACCCCAGTCCTCTGTGGGGTGGGGGCTTCCGGCTATCTTCACTCCCCTCTACGACTCAGGAGAGGATCTGGAAACCGTTTCCACCGGAGGGTACAGAGCTCCGTGGGGCGCAGCGCGCACACCGCCCCGCGGGAGGCCGCGGGCGGAATTCCAGGGTGTGGGGCGTGGGTGGGGGCGAGGCAGGGAGGGGACGGGCTGCGCGGGGGGAGGAAGGGTGGTGGGAATTTGTTTTTGCTGAGGGGTGGGTGTTCCAGATGTCCTTTAAATCACAGATTACAGACCACTGGCCGCTCCCCCTCCTTCATCGGGGGTTGTCCCCAAACACCCTCTAGGGAGCCCCCCCCCGCCCCCGCCGTGGGCCGGGGAGCTGGCCGGGAGCTCGGTGTCCCTGGCTGGCAACGGTCTCCCCCGGGATCCCCGTTCTGTGCCGGGAACCGGAACAGCCCGAGGCCGGCGGCGCGGAGGGCTGGGGGGGGGGTGCCGGGTGTGGTGCCGGCGCCCCGCGGGCCTGGACGGGGCGGGCCTGAGGGCGGCGCGGAGGGCGCGGTGGGGCTGGCCCGGGGTGGGGGGGAAGTTGGCCCCGGGCGGCGGCGGGGGGGGGGCTCGGGGCGGGGTTGGGGGCCTGGCAGCGGGGGGTGGGGTGGGCTCTGACTCACCCGGCCTCCGCCCGGCGGCCGCTAAAAGGCGCGCTGGCCACAGCCCCGCGAGTCCGCGGACGCTCTCCCGGCCGAGCGGTGAGTCCTCGCTGGGCCGTCCGCCCTGGGGTGAATCGGCCCCCGGGCGGCAGGTGGCTCCCCCCGAGTGCACCCCGGGCTGCGGGAGGGTGTGTCTTCCTCCTCCCCGACTTCTGGAGCCCCTGAGGCTGGCTCTCGGCCTGCTGCTTGGCCACCGCTCTCCTCGGGGCCTTCAGGTCTGCCTCTCCCTCCCGCCAGGCTGGTGACAACCGGTGCGGTGCGGCTGGGGACAGAGCTCTTGGGGAATATGAATGTGGGCGGGTGGGGAGGCCCTTCGGCACTGACCAGCCTTTCCGCCTCCAGCTCTGAGCCCAGCGCCCAGCCATGGCGTGCCCCCTGGACCAGGCCATTGGCCTCCTCGTGGCCATCTTCCATAAGTACTCAGGCAAGGAAGGCGACAGGAGCACTCTGAGCAAGAAGGAGCTGAAGGAGCTGATCCAGAAGGAGCTCACCATCGGCGCGGTGAGTAAGACCGCTCCCTGGGCCCTTGGGAAGCAGGGTGAGGAGAGGGAGGGGGCCAGGTGCATCTGACGCTCAGTTATCCATATTCTGGGGCCCGAGCCCACAGCTTACTGGGACCATGGGTCAGTTCCCAGTCCTCAGCCCGGTGCTCTCTGCCAGTGAGGAACAGAGCCTAGTGGAGAAATAAAGCCAGTGTCTTTGACGAGGAGAGCACAGGGTTCCCTGTATGAGGGAGGGCTGCCTGGAGGGGGCAAGGGAGAGAACCCGAGGTTCTCATCACATTGAGTCTGGATTTCACTTCTGACACGTTAGAAGCTGCAGGATGCTGACATTGCGAAGCTCATGGAGGACCTGGACCGGAACAAGGACCAGGTGGTGAACTTCCAGGAATATGTCACCTTTCTGGGGGCCTTGGCTTTGATCTACAATGACGCTCTCAAGGGCTGAAAACAAATCAGGAGGTGGAGACACCCTTGAGCGGGCCTGCCTAAGTCAAATACTGTGGTGGGTAATTGTTCAATAAATAACTTTTTTTGGTCAAGTCTGCCTCTGTGTCCTGGCTTCCTAGTGATTTCTGTTCCCTCCTCTTATTGGTGCTGTGCCAGCCATCAGACTTTGCTCATGGTCACCTCTGGGACTGACATGGCAGGGCCCCACACCTGGGGCCACCCTGACTGCTGCTAGCCTGTAAGGTGACTGCACGTGAATTAGAAAAGGGTCTCACCCTGGACGAAGGCTTCTTAAGGAAGGCTCACGTGGTTCCCAGGAAAGAGGGTTCTGGAATGTGGGTGGGGAAGGAAATGGTGCCCAAGCCAGGCTGTGATGGGTCCAGAGTGGAGCAGAGATAGTCCTGGTGATGTAATTTTTGAATGTTGTTGAGGTTGGTGAGGGCTGGAGCCAACGGCCAAAAAAGAATTCCTGAGACATCTTTGTGTGTGTTTGTGTGTGTGTTTAAAGATTTTATTTATTTATTTGACAGAGAGATCAAAAGTAGGCAGAGAGAAGAGGGGGAAGCAGGCTCCTTGCTGAGCAGAGAGCCCTGGGTGGGTGGGGGGGCTCGATCCCAGGACCTTGAGATCATGACCTGAGCAGAAGGCAGAAGCTTAACTCTCTGAGCTATTCAGGCGACCCCCCCCCCCCCCCAGACATCTTTGGTGCAAATAGGGGGTTTTATTAAAGCTCGGGGACAGGACCCGTGGGCAGAAAGAGCTGCTGTCCCAGGATTGTGAGGAACCACTGATTGTACACCTCTGGGTTGGGGGAAGTAAAGATAATGAAGTTCCAGAAGGACTTCTGCGGGCTAAAGCAGATTCTCCAGATGCCTGTTTATTGTCAAGCTGAGTAAGGTTTTCCCTCTAGCGAAGCGCTTACATTAAGACAGTAGGGAGCTTCCTGGAGGAAGGTTGTACTCTGCCTGCCTCGAGTATTTTATCCACCGGGTGCGGCATGTAGGGACACAGGCTGTAAGGGCGTTTAATTTCATTGACATTTCTTTCTGCCTTTGCTTCCCACCTCATTAGCAGCGTCCCAGAAGACAAAGGCCTGCTGTGCTCTGGGTGTGCTGACTGAAGGGCGGGGGGGGGGGGGGGTTGGGGGGGGAGGGGGGGGGGGGGGGGGGGGGGCGCTTATGCAGTGAAGAGAGGGAGAGAGGGCGCATCTGGCATGCCCCAAGCCTGGCAGGACAGAGGCCACTGGCGGGCTGAGCCCACAGCAGCTGCCCATGGCCCAGTTGAAGGTGGGGGGCCTACTTTAAGAGTCTGTCTCTGTCTTTTGTGTTGGGGGCGGCGGTCTGAGTAGCTGGCAGCTGCAGGAACATGAGATTCCCGGGGTTCTCACGATGGGGGCACGGTGGGGTCCCAGGGGCTGGGCTAAGCACAGCTTCGAGCCTTTCAGCCTTTTGGTCAATCCGGATCTGGCCCATCCCTGCAGCCCCCGCATGAGTCAGCCCAGTCACTCCACGGGAACCAAGGCGGCTCTCGGCCGCTCAGGGAGGATGACTAATGGAATTACCGTCTGAATGCATTGTTTGCGTTTGAGGTTTCAGGGTGTGGGGCAGGGGGATAAACTGGGCCTAAGGGCAATGGGGCATTTGTCCCATATCCCATTTGTCCCATGTCCCATTTGTCGCTGTCCCCCTCCAGGCCTCGTCCGGGCTGGGCACGCTCCTTTGTAGGTTCTGGGCACCTCGGAGGGAGACCATAGGCTCCTTCCCTCTTTCCTCCCCACTTCCTGGGAGCCCCACTTTGCCGAACTGTCTTCCTTCTCCCTGGGGCTGCGAAGAGAGAACAGTCGAGAAAGTTCCCCCCCAGTTGCCCCTCCTGCGCCGCGGGGAGTGGGACGGGCGCGGAGGGGAAGCGGGAGGGACGCAGGGCTGCCGGCCCCCAGGCTGGAGAGCCCCGTGCCAGCCCCGGCTCTCCCAGCACCGGCGCCGCCTCCACCGCGGGCACTTCGGGGCGCGGAGCGGGCGCCCTCGTGCGGGCCGCGAGCCGGACGCCGGCAGGAGGGCGGCGCCCGCTTTCCTGAAGCCCTGGAGGGGTCGGTCTCGGCGCGACCCGCAGCCCCGGCTCTCGGGAGACGGGATTTGCCCGCCCGGGGAACGTCAGCGGCGGGCTCTCTGGGTTCCAGCCACCGGTCTCTACGGGGTTAGGGTACCTAAGGGTTAGGGTTAGGGTTAGGGTACGGGTACGGGTTAGGGTCAGGGTTAACCCTAACTCGACTTCGTCTGCGACGCACCTGCGCGAGCCGGTCCGGGGAAGGACGGCGGTTTGCAGAGACGATTAGGGTTTGAGCCCCTTTCCCTCTTCCAGGGACCCAAAGACCTTGGTGCCAAGAGGGAGCAGGAGCTGTCCCCGAGGGCGAGGGCGGAGCTGCTCTGGCAGGCTCAGCCGCACGTTTCTGGGGAGCCGTGGAGGCTGAAGTGAACCCACACACGTGCGCAGTCCATCTGCTGAATAAAGACGTTTGTCCTTTAGCTTCTGCTTCCCCACAGCGGTGGAAGGGAACGGGAACATGGATTTAAAAAAATAAAACAAATCCCAAATAGAAAGCAAATCTTTTCGTTTGCTTTGAGAGTATGATTTTTTTTTTAAAGAGATTTTTATTTTTAGGTAATCTCTTCACCCAATGTGGGTCTTGAACTCACAATCCCGAGGCCAGCCAAGAGTCCAGGCTCTACTGTCTGAGCCAGCCGGGTGCCCCCAGGGTATGATTTTAAAGGTTTTTTTGGGGAGTGGTGGTGGTGGTGGTGGGAGGAGGCAGCATTTCCAATGGGATCTGGTGGGGGGGGGGCTGTGCACGGGCTGTTCGTTTTTCGGGTATTTGACTCCAGTTGATGTAAAGTTGAAGTGAACCCTTTGAGCTACCTTGGTGGAGTAGGGGTCGGGCGTAGAGGAGAGGGAGAGTTTCGGATGGGGGGGCTCATT